CTGAATGATATTATAAGTAGACACACAATGGCTCTATTTCCACATGGGCTCTAGAATAGGGTGTCTTTTTTTTCCCTTTATGAGACAGGGTCTCGCTATGCAGCTCAGGCTGGCCTTGAGCTCACTTTGTAGCCCAGGCTGGTCTCGAACTCGCAATGATCCTGCCTTAGCCTCCTGAGTGCTGGGATTACAGGCGTGTGCCACCTAGAACAGGGTGTCTTAACAAGGGTCCTACTAACACTTTGATGGAGATCATTCTTTGATGTGGGGGCTGTCCTGTGTTGCAGGGTGTTTACCAGCATCCCTGGCCTTTACCCACTAGATTCTAGTAACAACCCACACACCAATTATAATATCCAAAAAATGGCTCTAGACATTGCTAAATATTACCTGGGGAAAAAAATTTCCACCCACCCTCTTTGAGAACCACTGATCTAGAGAAATAAAGGCAGCATTTGTCAAGCTCTGGTAAAGTGAGAGCAGATATGATATCAAGGCGGTATGAAAAGGGATGTAGTGCACACAGATCAGATGGATTTCCTAGGCAAACCTGTAAGGAAACAAACCCCACAGATCCTGGGCATCAATTCCATTTGCCAAATAATGTCCCAATTACCAACTCAATATCTTGGGCACAGTAATATCAGGAAAGTATTACTAATGAGCAAATATGTAATATTTTTAAGGAAGTTTTAAAAATTGCAGTGGCACAGAACAGTGAACAGGTTATTGTCAACACCGACATTGGACCCTATGAGAGGAAACAGATGGAAAAACATTTGGAATGATCGGTAGTTTAATAATAATGTGTTAAGATTAAATTTCTAGAAGTACAAAAAAAACCTTAAATACTAAACCAAAGTGCTACTACAGTATTTTCTGAGTTGAAAGGAGAGACACAAAGAGATTCATATTTATACTGTCTAATTACGGGATGGGAAAGACTTTCTATATAAAAGAGACTAAAGGGAATGATAGATTTAGCTACATCAGAACCAAAAACTTGTGTGTTTCAAAAACAAAATGAAACAGAAAACATGAACAAAACCAGAATATGTGCTACAATTTTCTTTTGAGGTACTGAGGATTTGTAGCCTTCTGCCTCACCCAAGTGTTGCCATTATAGGTATGCACCTCTGTACCAGCCCAAAACTGAAAGGTAAGAACAAACTGAAGAAGAAAATATTTATAACATAAACATCAATGGTTCAAGATCTTTAAATAATAGCTTTTATAAACGAAATACCAAAACCAATACCCCACTTTTAAAAATGGACGAAGTACAGGAACATGAAATTTACACATATACTCAAATTCCTTCTACATATAAAAGCTCAGCCAGTAAATATATACAATATATATAACCTTATCAATGGAACAAACAGAAATAAGAACAAGGTAGTATTTCTTTATATTTCAGCTTGATAAGTATGTATAGGACCGGGGATATATAGCTCAGTGGCACAAGTGCCTGCCTGGCAAGTGCAAGGTCCTGAGTTCTGGTACCACAAAAAAAAGATGTATAAAAAAGTAACACACAGAATATATGGTGCTTATGAGAGTACAGACAAATAGTCTCAAAAACTGATGATACAAACTGGCATAACTCTGGAAGGTAATTTAGCAATAAATATTTAAATGTATAAATATGCTTTTAACAAACTATACACACACACACACCCCTCCCACCCTGCAGTGCTGGGAATTGCAAGTCCTCCACCACTGAACTACCCATCCTCCAACACTAACAAATATGTACTACTTTTAGACATTTTTCCTAAGGAACTGTCATGGATCTACATAAGATTTAGCTCCAAGAATATTCATTTCAATGTAATTTATAACAAACTTTTCATTTTTATTTTGAGACAGGATCTTACTAAGTTGCTAAATCGCCTATTCTGGGCACAAATTTGGGTTCTCACCGTCGTTCCAGAATGCTAGGATTGCAGGTGTGTGCCACCATGGGTGGCTGAGGACAATTTTCTGGTGTACTTGTCTGGTATGTTTTAGACCCAAATTCAGTACTGAGGCAAATAATTACAGTTTGTCTTTCTTCAGTGTAGCAAAAAAATTTATTTTTTAAGCTGATACATAAAAATAGAATATATTTACATGAAAACATATTTTTAAATTTCACTTTTATGAAATTCTTGTTTTACTGATAAAAGGACTTAAGTGGTTGGAGTTTTAGGTTCTCTCATCTTTAGCCAGAACAGGTACCCAGAATGGGAAAATTAAGGGCTATGTTCATAGGAACAGTGCATGATTATGTGGAATCTTTATAAATCCTTTGAAATGACAGTAAAGACAGAATTCAATGTGAATGTGTGGTGTAGGTGGCAAAAGGTTAACTTGTTCTCCAAAATCTTTCTTTCTTTTTTAAATTTGCAAGTTTTACTATGGCTCATGGACAAATCACCTAAACTGAAGTTGAGATCACTTCTCTTTCTGTTTTGGTTAACATGCTAGTGGAGATACGATGGAATTAATAGTCAAACACATCAATGCCTGAGAAGTGCTAATCTTATGTAAGGAAAGAAGTCCAGTTCAGCATGGCACTCGTTTTTTGTTTATTGTTTATTTATTTATTTAAACCAGGAATTAAACTCAGGACCTTGTGCTTGCTAGCATAGCACTGTTTTGTTTTGTTTTGTTTTTGTCTTTCTGAGACAAGGTCTCACTATGCAGCTCAGGCTGGCCTTGAGCTCACTTTGTAGCCCAGGCTGGTCTTGAACTCGCAATGATCCTACTGCCTCAGCCTCCCCGAATGCTGGGATCGCAGGCATGCACCACACCTTGCCCAGTCTGGCACTATTTTTAAGCCAAAATGTTAACCACTAGTGGCTGTCCTTCATAACACAATCTAATACAGTGAGAAGATAGCCCCCAAACAGAACCTAATTTTCGTAATTCAGCAGGTGGTCTGTACATACTGGTCATCACCTTCGTGATTGGTTTGCCTTTAGGCTTACAGCAATATTCAGTGTGTCAGTCAATGGCTAAATCTACGAAATACAAATTTAAAAATACGTTTTTCTCAATTCTGTGTTACACAGATGTAATGGTTGATACACTGTGTCAACTTGAGAAGTTTAAGCAACTCAGCAGGGAGCCAGGGTCCTTACTCTGTAAACATCCTGAGCCTGGGTAAGAGGAGGGCACAGAGATGGTGTGGGAGGTAGCCAGCATACAATATAAGAGAGAAAAAGAGGCTTGCCCCCTCCAATTTTTGCTCTTGCTACTTTTGCTGTCCTCTGCCACCTTAAAGTGTTGCCCCTGTGACCCGCCACCCTGCCTTGGAGCCAACTGATTATGGACTGAAACCTCCACAAACTGTGAGCTAAATAAACTTTTCCTTCCTTAATTTTGGGGCATCAGGTATTTTGTCTCAGCAAGGAGAGAAAAGTAACCAACACAACAGGCCAATAAAAATGTATCTATAATGCCAGTGTGGTGGTACACGCCTGTAATAACAGCACTCGGGAGGCTGAGGCAAAAACCTCACAATTCGTTGTGAGTTCGAGACCAGCCTGGGCTACAAAGTGAGCTCAAGGCCAGCCTGAACTGTATAGTGAGACCCTGTCTCAGAAAGACCAAAAA